GTCACTGTCTAGTGGGCTTTGTTTTCAAGTGCGCAACTCATGGCATTCGCTGTTCTTCTCCTGGCGGTTATCAAACAGCGTAGCATTACTGCAGGCACCCACTTTTGGATTGAGGGTGAATTGCCTGTATTCGTTGTAAGGCCTCATGCACCGAACCGAGATGTCTGTACCGTGACGGTTCGGTACAAATACATGTATCGGTACACCCCTAATGTCTTACATATCTGTCATAAAGATTTTTAGGCTCATGAGAAACCTTGACTGGTACAATATATTTTAATCCCATCTGATATGAAACGTCTGTGTACATGTTACACCCTGCAGGAGCTGAATGAGAACGCAGCCACCCTCTTTAAAAGTCAAGATGAAAATGACGTGGCAGAGGCGGTGACCATCATGAATGAGTGCATCATCCCTTGCATGCACCTCATGGTCAGAGACAGCGTCAGCCAAGAGGACTTGGACGTCATAGAGCTGATCAGGAGTTGCTGGTGCTCCTACCTGGGGCAGGACATGGATGGTGGGCTCTTTCCCCCCAAATTTCATATATAGACCATTTCAATTAGATTCTTACATGCTCATGTTTTTGTTCATGTTTGTCTGTTTTTTGGATAATCAGATTCTGTTCAGGAAAAGCTCAGTGAATTCCTGCCCAGAGTCCTGGACTGTTCTGCAGAAATGGTGGTCCTGAAGGAGCCCCCCAAAGTGAGGAACTCTCCCCATGATCTGTGCAGCCGCCTGACTGCCGTCATGAAGTCCATTCACAGCACCTCAGTCGTCACTGTGAAGTGAGGCAAGGTTGAAAAAAAACAAGGCACAGTCACAAGGTGATCTATCCTCTGCCTCAGGCTGAGCTGGATTTTATTTTCGCTGCACAATGACGTTTTCTGTCACACTACGGTACACATATTCACTGTGTTCTGAATTCCTTCAAAGGAGATTGATTGGCTGCTTTCGATCTTTGTAGGTGTTTGATCTCAGGAAAGATCAAATAGCTGACATTTTGTAAAGCCAGGTTTGTGAGAGGGCAGTGAAGGCAGAGTGAAAGATTTTACCCTGTTCTTCTTTTCACGTGAGCTGTAGACAGCGTGAAAATATAGTCTTTTATAGAGATTTGCTGGAGCCACTTTATTTCAGTCTACACTTAGCTGAAGATCTTCTGTGTATTCTTTCTTTGTACAGTAAGGTTGTCTGATTTTCCACTCCTTTGTTCTACCCCTCTTTTACCTTTCAATAAAAATTAGATTTCTCACTTTGTCGCCCTGTCCTGTGAGTTCTCTTTTTTCTTTTGTATTTTCCCCCCTATCTGTTCTCATTTTCTGTTTCTTCCCAGTTCTTCTCATCATAATTCTATAAGGATTTCCATTTATACGGTACATCTACTGCAGGTCCATTGATAATAACTAGTTATTATGTAGGAGACCACAGGCAGGACCATTTATTAGTAAATCTATGTGAACTCTTATTTGTACTTGTTTCATCACGTTATGGCTTCTGCAGTCACAATCGTGCAAAGAATACATTTTCAGATGTGTATATTTAATATATCTTGCAAAATATACAAATGTTGTAAAATATTGTTAATAAAGATTTTAAAATATTTTTACATTAACTAGTTTTAGTTGCGTATATTAAATCATATTCCTCATATATTTGCCATTTTATATATATATTATATTATTTATATATTTTAGGCCAATTCCTTTGTCAGTATCCACAGAACACTGCCAAGTTACTTATGTTTCAAAAGAAGTATAACTCTCTGTCAAGCAATAGTTTTTGCTTTTAAATAATAGTTTTACCTTCCTCTCTTAAACTTGTTTCAATAGGTTAGAAGCTTTCAGAAGGGCCTGTTACTAAAAATAACCACATACAAAGAGCAGCTACAGTTTCATGCATTTATAAGAATTGTTTATCTACAGTGAGGTAGTAGTTAGGGCCCGAGCACCGATGGTGTGAGGACCCTTTTGGAATCGCTCCATTTCTTATTATGGCCCGAGCACCAATGGTGTGAGGACCCTATTGGAATTACTCCGTTTCTTCTTCTCCAAAGTGAATCCTAAACATGGGCCTAAACATGCTCCAAAACTCATGAAACTTTGCACACCTGTCAGAACTGGCAAAAATTTACATCTGATATAGGTTTCAGAAGTGGGTGTGGCAAAATGGCTCGATAGCGCCACCTGTACACATTCAACGGAGTGCGCCTCGAGCTACGTTTTACGTACATGTACGAAAATCGGTACACACATGTAACACATCATTACCTACAAAACATTTTGTCTCTTGGTACAAAATCCAAAACCCAACAGGAAGTCAGTTATTTTTAATTTCCTGTACAATTTTTGTGCAGTTTTTGCCATTTCCAGGCCTCGTACTTTGACGAACTTCTCCTACAGTTTTAACTGGATCATCTTCAAATTTGGTGAGGGTTATCTTAAGGCCTTTGTGACGTTAAATTGTTTTCGTCAAAGGGCGTATCCCTGGCGGCCTGAAAATGTTTATGTTTCGCCATGAAACAGGAAGTTGTTGTAACTCAGGCAAGCAATGTCTGATCTGCCCCAAACTTCACACGTTTGATAGGAGTTATGTCTGTGACGTTAAATTGTTTTCGTCAAAGGGCGTATCCCTGGCGGCCTGAAAATGTTTATGTTTCGCCATGAAACAGGAAGTTGTTGTAACTCAGGCAAGCAATGTCCAATCTATGCTGATGGTTTACCTTAGGTGGTTAACTGACTCATTTTCCATAACTACATTCTTTCATCCATCAAGTCTAATTTGCCCTTTCCCCATGTATGAGTGATTGTATGTTTGTTTGTTTAGATTAGTTATGTGTGTTAGCGTTTAGTTAATAAAACTTTTGTGTGCAAATTACATGAGTTTCTGGTCCTGCTCGTGAATAATGTCCCTTTACGATTTTGATCCTTGCTACATGCTCTAATGCATTAAAGGGAGGGGTTGATGCGATTTCAAGTTTTCCTTTCTCTTTGGAGTGTTACAAGCTGATTGTGCATAGATAAGATCCCTGAAGTTGCAAAGACTAAAGTCTCAAAACCAAAGAGATATTCTTTATCAAAGTTAAGACTCTGCCACGCCCCCCTAAAACGGCTCGTTCTAACACGCCCCACATATCTACCTCACTATGTGGAAATATTAGCATAATGCACCCAAATGTTCACGCAAAGAAAGAAGGCGTGGTTTCAGTAAACGCAGTTAGTGTTGAAGCACATAATTAATTGTAATTATTTATATACATTTCCCTTTTGAGCTCATTTGCTACACCATGAAACAGGAAGTTGTTGTAACTCATGCATACAAAGCCCAATCTGCCCCAAACTGCACACGTTTTATAAGAGTCCTGGCCTGAATAAATCTAAAGGCCAATATTCAGTCATAACTATAGTGTCACCTGCTGGCAACAGGAAATGACTTGTTTCACACTAACTTAAACATGCAATGTCTGATCTGCCCTAAACTTCACATGTTTCATAAGAGTCCTGGCATTAACACATCTTAAAGGGTTAGTTCACCCAACAATGAAAATTAGCGCAGCCTAATTTTCATTTTTGACTGAACTAACCCTTTAAGGCCAATATTCAGTTATAATCACACCGCCACCTGTTGGCAACAGGAAATTACTTGTTTTACACTAACGTAAAGTCACCATGAAATCAAAATTGAAAATTCTTATTTTTTAAAGAAAAACTGTAGTGTTTATTATAAATAATTTATCCGTGCACACATATGACTTAACCTGATGGAGGATGCGCTCAGTCATTCAGGCAGTCTCTCTCTCGCTCTCGCTCTCGCTCTCGCTCTCGCTCTCTCTCGCTCTGTTTAGGCATGTTTTGTGCCGTTGATCGTCGTCGTCATCCTTAATAAATAAAACATTTATTCATGCTTGGGTGTCAGCTGTGAATCCAGTGGAGAGAAATCCCCCACCACTAACTGCAAACTGGCATTCAGATCTGCCTCCATTTTGTTAGCAACGCCCCAGCTTCCAAAGATCCAATCAATTCCCGAAGGACGAAATCAAGTCCCGCCCTCTCATTTCAGATGCAGATGCAGATGAAGAAAAGACAATCGCAACTTCCGTTTCATGCCGACTTTAAACATGCAATGTCCGATCTGCTTCTAACTTCACATGTTTGGAGAGAGTCCTGGCCTGAAAACATTTACATGCCAATGTTCAGTTATAATTTATAGCGCCACCAGTTGGCAACAACACATTTTATGTTTTACATTAACTCAAACATAGACCATTTTCAATCTGCACCAAATTTCACAGATTTGATAAAAGTCCTGGTCTGAAGACATCTACATGTCAACATTCAGTTACAGGCATAGCGCCACCAGCTGGCAGTAGGAAGTTTGGCACATATAAATTACTTTGACATATTCCTCCTATATTTTAGGGATGCAGCGATTATCCGGTTTCGCGATTAACCGCGCTTTAAAACGTCACGGTTAATTAATCGTAAAGGTTCCGCTAAACGGAGTGTTTCTGTTACACGGAACGGAACTGTTGCAGCTTGCGCAAAACGAAAAAAGTTACACTAGCGGTGCACCAACTTAAAATGACGTGCTTATCAGAGGCACGGAGGCTACTACATGCATTAGATGAACTGTGACAGATTCCTTTGAGAGGTTTGTGGAGTTCGTGGCACGTTCTTCATCTAAGGGGGCTGCAGCGCCTCCCGTGATGGCCGACAAGGCTGCAGCGCCCCCTCGGGGTGGTTTGAGTTTGTTTTTTTTCATTTTATTATCAAAATAAATAACCATTCCTCCTGCACTTGAGTCCTCGCTTCATCTCCCCGCACGCATCCATGACAGTAGTATTATTCATAAGTAAAAACCAACAATTTTTTTTTTTTTTTTCACCATGTTTCCAAATTCTCTACCCCAGGTCCAAAAGAAATGTAAAGAATGTACAAACTGAAAACATTAAATACTTTTGTGATCTATTTCCATTTGTTATTTTCAAAAGAGAAATACTGTCATGGATGCTTACAGAGGTAACCTTTTTTTAATTCCAATGGGAGAGATGGACTTTTGTTTGTCTTTTGTTTATTATTATTTTGTGCTGTATTGTTGGTTACTGTGTTATTTCTGTTTCAAAAGCCAGCAATAAATGACACTTTAATATCTAAAGAGTGTTCATGTGATTTTATACATTAGTAATGTTGGGAAATGAATAAATGCATAATAATCGCCATAATCGTAAAACCGTGATTATTCCTCAGACAATAATCGTACCAACAAAATCTATAATCATTGCATCCCTAATCCACAGAGCTCAGTCTAAGCCACCGGGTGGCAGTGAGCCCGGGTGCGAGGGCCCTTTCATCGCATGCTTGCAGCTTTAATGTGGAATTGTTTTTCGTTAATTACACTTATTTGATTAATGCCCATGGCGTAGTGTTGATTTATGTCTAACAAGATATGAAAATGCTGAGCAATTCAGATAAAATTAGTGAGACATTTCCTATGCCACAGTGTCAAATTACTATTATATTCATCAACAGAAATGCTCCAATCTGCATTTGTTCTTTCCATCATTTTTTTGTAAAGTCAGACTGTGTTTTCCCATCTAAAACATACTGTGTTATTAAATAGCACAGGAGTGAAAAAAAGAGTTAATGAAGACAATTGTATATTTTTCATACATCTGCATTAAATCGTCAGAAAAAAATCTTCTAAAATGCATCACCACAACACTTCATGCCTGCTCCTCCCTGGATTAATTTAGAGAATCAGACATAATCTCCTGAGTTTAATTAGAATTCGAACACGGCCATGATTGTGTTGATACAACAAAATGCTGCACTGCAGAGTGGATTGTGGTCTTCTAAGGCTACATGGGAAGCATATAAGAAAGATAAGATGCACTGGAGCCATCTGGTTAAGTTTCACAAACATGTCATTATACAGTCTTATCAGGATTACACTCTCCTATTGCCCATACAGAAAATGAAGAGGCTTTTTATATTAGGCGACAAAAAATATAAAAGAAACCAATTAAATTTATTAATAATAATATGCTGTTTATGGTTGCCAAAGAGGCATAGTGCATTAATATAGAACTGTTGCCACAGTTGAGTGTATGACAGCTAATTTACTCCTCCAATAAGAATTTAGATTCAGAACTGTTTTACAAATATTTTTTGAGTTTAATTTGTCTTGGTAATACGTACAATTAATAATCTTACAATAGCAAATATTCTGTCCTCAGGAAGAAGGCACCTACTGTCTGTTATGGTACACCTCCATCAGTAACAGAATAGCTTTAGAGAATAGGTGCTCAGTGAAGGTGGCAGAGAGTGAAAACTCAACGTCCAGTACTCACACAAGGTAATCGACTAGATCATTGTCACAATTCTCATTTACTTAAACTGCAGTATTACACATGCTAACAGTGTGTATTTTAAGATAAACATTATGCATTGATTCGATTACTGATGTGATAACGATTGAATGATTGCATGTGTGCTAGATCTCCAGGCCACAG